CCTGTCAAATAATGTTATTCATATATTTCACCATCTGCCAGAGAGTTTGAAAAGATGAAAATAAATACAGATCAAAATCATACATACATGTTAAATTCTGATTTTGAAAAGTAGTTTTAAAGATAATCTTATGAAATGGGAATCAAACTTTGAATCACTCTGAATGTGATTGATATTATAAGAGGTCATTCACCCCTTCCCCACCACTTATTTGGAGAAAAAAAGTTTCATTTACAGACAAATTTTTTTTGTTTTTAATATAATAAGTAAGAAACCGAGGCACCTTAAAATCCAGACGTAGGAGTTGACAATTAGATTTGTTTCAAGCTCAGAAGGGCATAAAAGGATCAAGATCGATGTGTAAATATGTCTGTATTTGGTTTTTAAATGTTATGTTTTAGGCGTGTGTATTCATCGGTGTCTGAAAAAGGTACTTTTAGTAAAAACGTATATACACATCTACACCGGGGAAAGGGTTAAAAAGCTTTATGATATAACAATGTTCAATTCATTATAAAGTTAAAAATATAGTTTTTGGTATAAATTTAAAGAGAATAAAACAAAAAATTAATGTACAATTTACAAATTAAAAGTTGTTTTCAAAATCTGCACATATTTTCTAATGACAAAGAGTAAAAGAGCAGAATCCAATATTAGGAAAACATTACCAAAAATACAATAACACTTTTTAAAATATTATTCAATTACTTGTCTATCACTATTTATAACAGTTGGAAGAAAAATGATAGGAATGGAAAACTCAAAGTTTAACAGTTCTTGTTTCCTAATGTTTATAATTACAATTAAACTACAATTGTAGTACTTTTCATATTTCTAAAAAAAAAAAAAAAAAAAAAAAGGTTTTTTTGAAAAAAATATAAGAATTGCACTATAAGAATGCTATAGTAATAAGTATATTTTGGATAAGATTGTACAGTTAGTAGACACAGACTGAAAGAGTATTTTTAACAGTGTGAAAACTAGTACGAGGTCACAATAGTATCCCTATTTTCCAAACTATTTTATAATGGAGATTTTTAACTATTAAAAATGAATTTATATCAAGATTAACTCTTTCTCATTGACAAAGATGTATAGCATATTTAACTTATTAACCAAAAAGAATATTTTATCTAAATTTATTTTCCATAGTATATAAATTATTTATTAATCATCAGATATATGCTTTATAATGAAATTCCAAATATACTTAAAAATGATTAATTTTTATTATGTAAAGTAAAGACAAAAGTGAATAAATTTTGATTCCAACTATATAAAAGAGCAAAATAATTTATGGAGCCAGACTGAATCCAAATTATAAGAATGTTACTGCACACTTAAATAGGATTTTCTCCCAAATTGTTTTCATAAGACAATATCTTCATAGGATGTGTTACACAAATGGAACTAAAGCTAACTTTTATAGTTTACACATTGTTGTGTTGAAGCTGTAACAGTGAATGTAAGCAACAATTTTTTTGAATTCTAAAAACAAATTATTTCCCAACATAGGTGTAATACATTGTTTCCATGAGATACTAATACAAAAAAAATAAATAAATAAATAAAAAAATAAATAAAAAATAATAAGCAAAAATTTATATGTATGCAAATAAGAATCAATTATCGCCTGAGGAAAATTCAAGATAGATTTGTTTTTTACATTTCATCAACCATTTGTGGATTATCCAAAACATTTTGGATTATAAGAATAATCATTTTTTTTTTTTTTTGCAAGTGAATATTGCATTAACAATTTTTTGGAGATAATTATTTTTCCTGATACAATCCTACTATTCATATCTGCTGGGAGAAGAGATGAATTATACCTTTCCCAAGGGGGTTTGCATGTAAGTGAATATAACAAACTCAACTGGAATTAGAACTCTGCTCTCCATTACACCATTATAGATCCACTGAAAACTGAACAATTAAAAAAAAAAAACTTTGTAAACTATCAAGTTAATCTTTTTAGATATCTCCATAAACCCAGACTGAGTTTAAATGGCCAGTTGTTGTTTCAGTGTCATTAATAGAGATAAAAGAAAAAGTAGGATAGGTGAGTCAAAGCAGATGTCAAACAATTTATTACTTTTCCTAAAATGTTTCTCAAAGATAAATCACATTGACCAATGTGTGACACACTTACTACGAATGAAAGGTTTTGAATGTCAATTATTCTTACCTACTTTATGCACTGGTGATTTTTTTATCTGGTGGAAAACCCTATTTAGCAATCAAGTTTGTTTTGTAAAGTTTACAAATGTGTAGTGTAATGTAATCTATGCAAAGAGAACAAGAAAGTTTATCAGACAAAAATGATAAGATAGCAAAATGTTAAAAAAAAACAAAAAAAAAAACAATATTTTCATATAAATTTTTACCTTCACAAGGTTAGGCTTTTAACTGATTTAGAATTTCAAAATAAAATAATTAACAGTACAAAAAATAATTTATAAATTTATTAAATTTACAAGTAACTTTATGCTTTGTTTACATAAAAAATGTAAAGTGCTGTCTCGTCATTGATTTGTTTCCATTTACAAAGAAAAGAAATAATGAATTTTGATTGCGCTTCCAGAATCATCATTTAATAATCGCTCATAATAATAATAATAAAAAATTATGTAAAAAAAAAAATAAACTAAAAAATAAACATTAAAAAAATCCAATATCTACGATATGTTTGAGAGTACTGAGTACTTAATATCAGGTTGAAAAAAGTTTTATTTAAAAAGGTTTATGCCATTAATAATCATTCTTGGAAGAGCTGTCATTTTTTTAATTATTATTATTTGGACTGGACTGTAGTCATCGTCAAATTGAAACATAATGCATCAAGCAACAAATTCCCAGACTTGTTGATATCATCTTGAAGGGAGAAACAAATTTAACTTTTCTAAATAGGATACTACTCCATGTTCAAAAATACCTAACATTTTTCACGAAATCTGAAGATTAAAATTTAAATCTAATCTAAAAATCCATATGATAACCAAAAAAATATCCCAAGAAACAATTTAAGAATACTGAAACAATTTTTTCAAAGATGAAATTAAGTTATCAGAAGATTTTCTGAAAATTTAAATAATTCATTCACCAAACCAAAATATTCACAAAATAATTTTTAATTTTCAAAATGAAAGCATATTTCCTTAAGAAAAATTTTCAATTTCCGTAAATAAAAGTAAAACTAAAAATGGATTTATTCCCTATCGCACTTGTGAGTCATCACTAAATAAAATTGAGTTTGTTTTTGATATACAAAAATAAATATTCTTCGTATTCAACAACCTAAATTGTTCTTAATGTTTTGAATTAATTGAAATACTAGCAAAAATAATTAAAATTTGAAAAATTCGAATGGTTCAAAATTCCTGTTTCCTTACCAAAATCGAAATTTTAATTTTACTGTCACTTGTTTTGAAATAAAACTAAAAAAGTATTATCTAGCTAGAGTAGACTATAAGAAATGATGAAAAATTGTAAAACAAGTTGTTAATCGATAAATTTTCCTGACACAATCAGGCTGAGTGAACAACTTAAATCAGATGACTGTAAGTGTAATTTATGACTATTTAATAAATCCTTTTTTTAAGTTTGTATTTATCAACTAAAAATCAAAATTGACAGATATCGCAACAAGTAAAATACCGACGACTTCTACAATAAAATCGTGAAGAAGAAGGTGGCGGCTTTAGTGGCTTCTTCTATCAAACACTTAAAAAGTGATGAGAAGGAAAACATTTTTAGAGATTTATAAGTACCATTATTATTTCATGGCAGTTTCATTGGAAATATCAACAAACGGAGATTATTAGTTAAAGTAAGAAGCCATTAAAAAATTCAATGGCTGGATTTCTGCTAACCTACTTTTAACATTCCTCAAGTTAAGTGTTGGTATTACATAAACAACATTAAACTAAAACATAACTTACAATTGAGTACTCTTAAAAAATTAAAACAAAAATGTCATTTAGTTTACAGAATTTATTTCTCTTATTTAAATGAGAAAATGTCAATTAAAAATGTTGTTGACAAGGTAACGAGAAACCTTAATGTACATTTTTTGTTTAAATCCCTAGTCTTGATGTCAACATAACCTTGAGTTTAAACTACATTGTACAATTTCAAATCTTTCTCCACAACTTAGAGAGTCAGCTTGGTAGTGACAATACAACGAACACATGAAAACAAGTGAGTTAACGTTTGCGTCGCGTCTGTGTTCGATTAGAGGGGAAAAAAATGTAACTTACTAAAAAAAAAAAAAAAAAATGTAAGAAAACAATTTGCCCATGCCGGACACTAGGGAACCCTTATTACAAAACAAAAACGTGAATAACAGGTGAAGCCGTTCACTTCCTCCATATAAACAACAACAATATATCAGAACTGACTGAATGATATTATTAAATAATATTTGAAAATAATGACAACTGTAAAATAAAAAATAAAATGTCTAGTTGTGAAAAAAATGAAAAAAAATGTGATAAAAAAGAAAAAAGAAAAAAAGAGAGAATGAATTTCATTTTAATCAAAATCAAATTATAAAAAAAACTATCATCAGAATAAATATGCGGAAGAGAAAATGGTGGGAAATAAAGTAGAGACGTGTTTTCTGTGATGAAGCTCGATACAAAATTAATTCGTCCTTTCTATTGCTTAGTTCTCTTTAGTTTCCCCGTCCTACTGCTATCATTGTCAAAAACACATTTCTTCCTCCACTATCTTTTTCTCGTCTAAAATCAGTTGAAATAGCAGTAGAGAAAACACAAAATGTACACCCACAATGTTATTTTAATAATAATAAAGCTAATATCTTTCCATTCAAGCCATAAATTCGAGTAGCACATGGCAACATCTTGCTACTACCAAACTACTGACGCACGTACGCACACATAAATATGCTTATTGGATTATAACCTAAAAACATTTGCATCACAGATCATCCTCAACGAATTTAGGTATTTACACGCAATGAAAAACTATATATTTACCAAAATACTGCAAGAATAGAGATATTGCCGATATATCATCAAAGGATTGGTGCAAAAAGAGACCCGTGCACTGTGCAGTTTTATGAAGAACATGCGGTTAGTTATGATAATAACTATCCCAAATGAGGTTCATGACGACTACGAAACAACACAAAAATAAAATTTAAAAAATCGGAATACAAGAAAAGCAACAAAAATATTTAAAAAAAAATGTGCCAAAATATTAATATTTTTTACAACAATTGCAGTGGTGTAAATTTAACGTGTATTTAAAATATATTTTACATGGCGCAATACACCCAATTCGTTATTTCGTATTTTTCTCCGCTTAGTGGTGGTAGATTGTTTGATATTATGATATGTCTATGGCACATGTCTACAGAAAATGTGACTGTTCAGAAACAGTAATTGAAGAGAATTGTTAAAAAAAAAACAAAACAAAACGCTACCAATAAGCTACAAGTAATTAAATGGGAGTCAAGAACCGTTCTCGCTATTTCTCAAGCCTACAAAGGTTAGGGACATGGGCCAGTCTGCACAGTAGTTGTGTAGTAGCAGCTGCCACTGGCTATGGTGTCGAACAAAACATCTGCTAAAGTTTCTTCTTGTATTTTGATTATTTATCGTTTTTTAAGGTACAGAAAATAAGAGACAACGTGTGAAAGTCATGTACAACAGCCCTGAAGTAAAAACTCATGAGTAGCAACAGCAAATTCCGTGAAGAAAGTGCAAGAAAACAAAAAATATGCATCTGTGATCAGATTTTTTTTTTTATTTTATGAACGACGATTATTGGTCAAGAAAACGTCCAACGCAATTTCACGTAGTCCTCACCCAGCCCACTTAAATGCCAAACCCAAATAAATACATATACATTTTTATAGGGAAAAAAATAATAAAAGCATGGTTCTAAAAAAGATGTAACTTAGGAAAGTAGCTCTTTAACTCCTCTAAAAAGTCTACAATATGTTGTATTTCTCGAGATTAATTAGCAATGAAAGCAAGTGTGTCTAGAAAAAAATAATATATATTCTTCAGATAACGGGAAAATATTAATCAATTTGATTCTTTACGCTTAAAAAACTACGGAAAAAGCTAAACTAGAATAAATAAAAAAATAATATGCGACTAGGAAATAAAAGATCACACTCTACTACTTCTACTACTACTAAGTAGCAGCAAGGGTTTTCACCAGAAATGTTGATAACAACCCCCAGGTCACGTTGTTGAACACAGGTGCTTCTTCACTCAACTCAATTTCAGCGAGATAGACGAATAGTCAAAGTTGCATGCATTACGTAGATTGACAGTTGTTTATGTTTTAATGTCAATAAAGCTAAAGGTTTAACTTGTAATGAACTTTTTATGTGATAACTGACGTATGTAAACAAAACGTACACAAGCCTTCATTTGAACCGATCTCAATTAAAAAGCTGAGGTGATGTCATTTCGTTGATTATGAAAAGTGAAAAATTCATAAATCTTTTCATTAACTTCACAAAAATGAGGATTTTGTGTAAAATATGAACAGACTTCTAAAACAGGATAATATCTGGACGCGAGCCGCAAACGATATACTACACTACACACACACACCTACCTCCCAAAAACGATACATGCTCATCTTCACATCATCATCCAGTCAATCAGCGTGTAAAACCAATCAACATGAAACAATTTTATTTTATTTAAAGCAAAAACAAATCAATGTTTTAACTTTATAATATATTGAAGAAATGTATCTTTTCTTTCTAGTTTTCCATTTTAAAAAAATCCAATTTTGAAGATCACAACAACTGTAACTAATAGCATATGACATTTGAATGGCTTTTCAAATTGATTACACAACCATTTATTTTATCATAGATATATGTGGGTATACCTTTTTTTCCACATTAAAAAGAATGAATAAATAAAAAATAAAGGCGGGAATTTCAACAAGGAAATAAGTTTCGCCACTGAAAATAACCTGTGTAATGTTTTCCAAGAAACTTTGAGGCAAAATATTACACTACAGAATTAAGAAAAATGCTTCAATATTGTGACATTGTGTATGTAGTTTTAAGTAAGAAACATCAATTCCACTTTTGTTGAAATTACCGAGTTAGACAAAGCATTTTTACTTTTTAATTCTCAAGTACTTTTTAGTTCAATCATTTTTTTCTTACGAAACCACAAACCAGTAAAAAAATAAAACTCCTGTAACTAAGATACTTCCTCGCTGTAAAAAGGAAAATATGTCCCGTTCTAGCACGACCTATATTTGTGAATTAATATTTATTAATGAAATAAACTTTTTTTTTTGTCGGAGAAAAAAAAGAACCAAATACTATGAATTAAAATTGGTTACAGTACACATTTAAAAATAAAAATTACTGAAATTGATTGTTTGACCGAATTTTCAAAGTGTGAGTCATTTACCAAAAATTTGACTTATCACTGATTAGCTACAATAATATTTTATTTCAATGGAATAGACTGTAGTTTTTACTACCGCTTTTTGTTTTAATTTTAAAAATATTTTTTCTCACTCCTAACACTTTGACTGGGAAACGAATATATCACATGTCCTCAACAAACATTTTTAAAACAATAACTAAAATTTAAACTAACTAAAATTCAATTTTTAACTGACATTTTCTTGTTTCACGCACGAGAAAAATCTGCTTATTTTTGAATTTAAACTGTACTAAAAAATGATATTGTAAAATAAAGTTGGAATTAATTTTTTTAATGATTTCCAGTCGAAGAGAACCGTGTACTGTACACATGAAATGAAACCAAATAGATTAAAATCCGACAGAAATAGGAAACATGTTAAAAAAAACGTTTCACTTTCTTATTTGTTCCTTATTTGATCTCAATCGGGGAGAAAGCACCTGTTTGTTTAGGTTGAGGGGTAGAGGGAAGATAGGAATTACAGATTGAACTCTGCTTCTTAAAAGATCTCTACAAGAAAGATCGGATAGTTGACAATGGTGTATTTCAGTGCTAATTTGTAATAATCAAGAGAAATGCCGAGAAGCCGAGCAGTTGTACGTGCCAAGGTGAAAATGACGGTTAGTCTGGTTATGACGTGGTTCTCTAAAACAAATCAATATGGTGGCCAAGTTGGACGACTTCGTTAGGGGTTGAAATTGGAGAATAAGGATATATTCAGACAAAAAGTATCACCCAAAATTTCAAGACAGAAATGCAAGCAGCAAAATATTATCATTAACTAATTAAAATCAAAGTTAAAAAGAAACTAATTTAGATTTTAGAATCAATAAAATATACACAAGGTAAACAGAACTTTAATATTTTAAAACGCAAACTTATAAATATTTACAAAAATGTTTATTTATGCTGAATAAAGAAAAAGATTTTTTTCTGTAAATAGTAGCATCCTGTTAGTTTTCTTTTGTATTACTGTTGTTTCTAACGATAGACACGCCATAGGATTATGACATTTTTCAATCAAACGCCTAACCTAATTTTTAGTAAGCTTTCTTAGACAATTTTTAACCTTGAAAACAAATAGCATGAGACAACAAAAATCAAATAGGTAAAATAAAAAAAGATCATATTGTCGAGAGGAGGAGGAGACGAGGGAATAAATAACAGAAGGAAGGAAGAAAGAAAAGAAGGACGGTCAAATGGGGCGGATAAAGATACATCACTGTTGTTTGCAATGGCGATTACGAAGTCGGGGACCACTTCAGGTCAGAGTAGACAAAAACAAAACGAAACAGAATAAACTAATGACATAAACAAGGATAACTACTAAATTTGTCAATCGAAAGACAGATCAGATGTCAACTACTGTTGACCTTTGAAGACAAATGATGGGCAATCAAAATTGATCACATACAAATATACCACACGAATTGGACCCCGACTTTGTGACCGCCCTGTAGGCGGGCTTGTGTTAACGAATGTAATGCTTTCTTTCTTGTCTCTTTCCTATCATCCGACGTTAGCACCAATCGACGACTACAGCCAGACAGTTAACAATGGACAGAGGAGACGTGGCAGGCCTTTAAAATAGCAGACATGGCCTTTTTTTTTTTAATAGAGTAAGCTTAGGGCAAGATTAGTGATTATTCATGATTCGCCACATGGGATACATAAAAAACTCGAAACAGCCGATGCGAAGTCTCATTTTCAGAGTGTAGCCTTAAGAGTTATTTCACTTCTGGTGTGTTGGCCACACGATAACTGTCTGCCTCAACAAAATCCTTGATTGAGAATTGTAATTTTCTTCAAAACACAGGCAAAAAGAAATATCTGGGATTTTATTTTTTAAAAACTATCAGGCATACGCGATTATACTTGGAAGAAATTACTTTGCCACCTAAAAAAAAAAAAAAAAACCCACTACACTACAGTACACACACTCGAGAAAGGTGAAATCTGCAAGATTTTTAAATTCTTGTTGTTCACTCGTATCCTTTCATATCAGCCACGAGATTTTAACATATAACAATTTTTTTTTTAACTTAAGTAAGTTACTTACATATAATCAAACTGGTAAAATTTTATTCCTTGTCAACCAGTTTCATACACGGATTTTTTTTTTTTTTTACTAAAATGGATAAAGCCCCCTTAAGGTAAACAAACACACAAGAAAAGGGTTTCATTTAATTTTGCAATCTTGTATCTACAAAAAAAAATATGATTACACTTTTGTTTATACTTTCACGAGCATGTAAAATCCAACCGAATTAAAGTAATCAATGATTATGTATTATTGAATTATTACTCGTTGTGGGAACTTTTCAGTTTATAGGTCGGTTAATTAATCTTTCAGATATATTTAAAAAATATATGGATGATAAATATGCAAAAATATAAATCATATTTGCTTTGCATATCTCATTTAAAAAACGATACAATTAAGTTAAAAATAAATAACTTCCTTATGTACATAAATACCATCAACTCTTATTTGGTTGGTAATATAATCGAAAGAAATTTAGTCTAAAAATCTTAAAAAAAAAGAAAAAAAAAAAGGGATTGTTTATTTCTAAAAAAGAAAAGAAAAGTCATTTTTTTTTTCAGTCAGGTTCAATCAGGAACAGACTTAAAAATGGCTATTTCATCAGAACAAGTAGTTTTTTGGGTTTTTTTTTTTAACAATGTTAAACTACTTCTTCTGATGTTAAATTAACATTGACTATAGTTTTAGTTAGGTGCGGTTTTGCTAATAAAAAACATCGTTGCAATTGGTGTTTATGAATTAGATTTGAAAATGTTACTGAAAAAATGTGGATATACGACAGTTGAACTGAAGGAGTTTTATGAAATTCCAATTAGGTGCTTCTTCGTTCGTAGATTCAATCTTTTTGTGCTGAGAAAAGTTTTACTATTGTTACTCAACTCAACTGCGTTGTCGACAAGAATGTCGTCCTTGTTTATTTTTAAATCTTACAATCTTAAATTATGGAGGGTTATCCGTTTGCGTCAGTGCACATGAAAATCGAAGTCTTTCTTTTACACGGTTTCTTGTATGTAATGACATTCTTTTTGATTTTTTTTTTTTTTTTTGTTGTAATAATTGCTTCAATAGAGTAATAATCATGTTATGTTTACATTATTAATAGGCGTCAGAAATGAAGCTTAATAGTGAAAGATGGATCCATTTTTATGTTTAAAAACAGGTCCACAACTCTACATTTTTAACTTCCTAATAATTATTGCATTTATTAATCAGTATGTTTTTTTTTCTTTCCTGTGAAAATTCTTAGCATTAAATTTAATATCTTCATCTACAAATCAGTCATTTATTTTCCTTTTTAATTGATATAAAAGAAACTAACATTAAAAATAAAAAATGCATGTAGAAATAAATGGGGTCAATTGTCAATTTATTACATGGGTCACTCAATATAGTCAATGGCTTCTAAAGACAACAGTGAGTCTTTTTTTTTTTTTTTTTTTTTTTTAAAAAAAAAAAAAAAATATTAGTGGATTCAATTTATAAATTTCCCCAGTAATTGAGTTAATTATGATTAAGATTACATTTTTAAAAACATACTTAGTACTTAACAGGTTTCATAATAGCTGTTATTATACGTTTCTTTTTTTTCTCTAAATTTAAGTAGGTTATTTGTACTAATAATGGCAGTGGTGTTTTTAGTTTCTTTTATGATTTGGAGGGGGGGGTATATTTTATCATTGAATCAAATTGTATGTTATCTTAGGTTTTCTTGACTTACTTTAGGTAGAAAGACTAGCAAATTGGGAAGGCTTCATTATTTCAGTCATCCCTTTCTTTTGTGTGTGTCTTTTTTTTTTTTTTAAAATAGATAGAAATAAAAACGACTTACTGAGAAAGGGATGGGTAAAAAATAAGTGACTGACTGAATGGAAAGATTATAGATGAATAGGGTCAGGAACTTGGGATTGAAGAGAGGGAAAAGTTGAGATTTAACGTTGGGATTGGATGTGGACGGGACAGTTTAGGAGTAGCAGTGTCGGATAGGATAGAAGTTGATAGAAAGAGAATTGGCGACCAGGGTTTTGCCTTTCATAACCGCTTCTTCTCCTTCTTCTCCTCCTATTTACACATGACCCACTCCTAAACCCGAGTCATCGTAGTCATCACCGTCGTGGTCATCAACAATACATTATTGCCGTGTTGTTGGTTGGAGAGAGAGAGCCAGGCAGCCAGCCCCCGCCGCCAATCCCGACAGCACGACTCTGCATCGGTTTTGTAGTTTTTTGCACAACTAAACTGAGCAAATCAGGCTTTTCCCATGGATTTTAGCCTCTGAACCCAAAGTTTTGCCTGCAAATTTTATCAGCAAAATAATATTCAGAAAACACTCACCGTCATGTAACGTGCCAATGACCTGCGGGGTTTACAAGTAATTTTCCACGGACCGCCCTGACCTTTGACACGGGAAAGGCGATAGGCAGAGGAGAAAAGCATAGACGAAGTGGGAGGTAGCGGCGGGAGGAGGGAGAGTGAGTATGCGCACAGTGGAAAAACGGAGGTAGTGTGAGCTGCGGGAGGACGAAAGGCGACGAATTGCAGGTAAAGGGAGGAGGAGATGGTTTAATGAGTAAGGAGGAGGAAAACTGAGAATGCCACATACTGTCAAGTGGGAGGAAGGCGAAGGAGAACATGGAGAGAGGAGAAGAAAAAAAAACAAAGAGTAAAGTTGAGAGTATTGGTAGTGGTGGGAGGAGTGTTAGTAATGTGAAGAGAAACGGAAGCAGAAATGGAGGGGTAGAGGAAAGAATATAATGTATATACGGAGGAGGAGGAATTGTTTAAACAAGAATTAATGTGACATTTTTCAGTTTTTCATTCAGTTTCTAACTTGGCGTCTGTTACGACGAGATCACATTTGTTTAACAATAAAAACAAAAAAAAGGTTGATACTGTTTATTTAAGTATATACACGTGTTCAGTTAGTTATGAAAACGAAAACCTGATTTCAAATTAAGACGAAGTTGGGGTTTTTCTTCTTCACCTGACACTGCCCTTTAAAACTTTTTCATTTTTTTTTAAAGTTCCAAAACAATATAAATAGACTAGAGACTTATCAGCGGCTAATTACTTTTAAAAAAAATCAAGTTTACTGTAGTGTAGAGAGAGTTAATCTTTGACACAGTTTTTTTCTGTCTATTCGCAATAGTGTCATCTCAACAGTTTTAATTGTTACAATGTGTTCAGTTCTTCAAAATGGGGATTCAGTGCGTTCGTCTTTGAGAACGCTATTATGTTTTTCGTTTGTATTTTTTCATACTATTTTTCATGTTAAAAATTCCTCCAGAGACTTGCATTCCCGTGACGTCAGTCACCACGTGACTTCATAACAGTTCTCTTTCAGCCATATGAACTGAAATAAGGCTAACACTACTAACATCATTTATTTACATGTTCCAATAGTGGTGTATTTTTTACGTGTATTTTAAGGCGGGAAGTAGTAAACTGTTTAGTAGTTTGTTACTATTGAAAACGTAGGTTGAGATTTTTTTACCCCGACCAAGAAGCCCTTCCCAAATATTCTGATGTTTGGTTAGAAGTGGGTTGGAACTGTTAACAGTAACTTTATATAACACTTCCTCTATCAAGACACTTGGTCTGAAGATCGCATTGAGGTGTGAAACTGGCAGTCACCATGTAATGTTGATCCCTATGTCTATAAATGCACTGTCCCTGATATAGATATTGGTGGCATGGTCTAATTTTACAACTGAAATGGCTGGATGTAACCGTAAGTTCTATGCTAACAGTTTCTTTTCTTGTACTTCTTGCTTGTAGAACTCTCTTCTGGCTTCTTGCTTCCCAGTCAGCTTTGATCTTCAGAAATTTAAATGCAACATCAGTCATTGTCTTGTCTTCTGAATTCCTGTTCTTTTATTGTTCTCTCTCCTTAATAGTGTTTTTATTTTATTTTTTCTCATATTCTCTCACACTCAGTAATCCACAGTTACTTGCGTTTTAGTGGCTTTATTGCCTTGCTTGGGGTGAAATGATTTAAAAAAAAAAAAAAACCTATTAAACACTCTTCCCCTATAAATATAGCAAGTTTTAAACAATATGCACACATATGCACATGCTGTTTATGCTTCAGATTTAATTTATTCACATAGAAAAATTATAGCAATTAAGAAAAAACCTATGGTGACTGATTTAGTTTCTAAATATTTTCACTAACAGTTTTGATTTGATTATTACCTGTTTTAATTTACAAAATGCAATGCTACTATAATACAAATTATTAATTTGATAAAATAAAAATTATACAAAATATTAAAAGAAATAGTTTTGACTAGTTGGAACCCTTACCAGGCAGAACAACAATGAAGAAATAGCAATGAGTTCTTTTTTACCAAGTTATTCATTTTAATATTTAGCACTCTGCATCATTTATAAATATTACTTCCTGTACATGGAATCCCATCAAAATATAGTGCTTTATATATTAGTTCTGTATATTTGAAATTGCAATAGTTTGGCTCTCAATTTCAGTCAAGATTGTTTAGGTGTTGTCATAGAAGGATATGGCAACATAAACAGTCAGTCAGTTATATGCCATGCAGAATACACGTTTAGATGATCATGTATCTTTCGATACATGACTGACGAGGCAGTTTTTTTCCCGCAATAGGTTGCCATATCTTTCTGTGGTAGACCAGTTTACATCTAAGGCTATAGAACCTGGTCTGTCCTGCTATTTACCCATAGCTATGTTGTGGAGCAGAGGATTCATACCTTTCCCAAGGATATTAGCATGTAAGTGAATGTAATGGATTCTACACAAACAAGAAATTTAAATTGAACATTGGCAGGAGTAACATTTTGATTGGTGAAAATAGTCACCTACAGAGGGCTAAAGGCTAAATATTTGAAAAAATAGTTATAGCTATTTTTTTTTTTTTACTGATAAGGAAATAATATTTCATTTAGTAAATTATAATAGTGATGTGTATAGATTTACTTGTAAATTTAGTATTATTAACGCTTGCTAGAATTATAACCATTACTTTAATTTACTTTGAATCAATAGTGAGGAAGGTCAACTCTAATCCACAGTTTCATTCTCTTTTTTAGTGTTGTTGGAGACTAAGTTAGCTCTATAGTAAAAAAAATATTATTTGTAAATACACACACACATATATATATATTAAATTGCCATTCGTAAAATTCAGACAATTTAATGTAAGCAGTAAATATTTTAACAAACCTTTGATTGATCAGACAGTGTGTCAACATTCTATTTTGGTATATATGCAAGTAATTTCCTAGTTGAGAATTTTGATCCAAAGGAATTTGCATTTCAAATTATAAATGAGGTTTGTATGGAATATATCCAGCTGTTCTGAATATCTCAAGAACTGGTTGTGTGACCTTGATGTTATTTGGCAACTAAATGAAGGGAACTTCACTGTCCACGAATGAACAAACTCTCCTGTGGGGTTACTCAATCTACAGGAAAACACTTGATTGAGCATGTGTACTGGGTGATTGTCACATTAACAATGATCAAGTAAAAGAAATTCTAAACTTTTGATGCAGGGATTTTGGTAAAACATCACATCAAAAAAGCCTGTCACTCTTACAGTGTAAATTCAGCTCCCTGTAACTTCTGTCCTCTCTTAAATCTTAACTTTTTATTGAGATGCTTAGGATGAGATTAAGAAGAATGTTCTATGCTGATGGTAATCCCAAAAAAGAACTTTGTATATTGTTTTGAAAAATGTATAGGATATTGGAATAAATGTGTAAGGTCTTAAGTGCAGTACTTTTTAAGATGCCATTTCACTCGGTAGGCTTTTTTTAAATGAAGATTTCTGAGCGTAACTTGTAAATATGTCCCCTTTTGCCTCAAAGTGTTTACAATTTATAATTATTACACAAGCTCTTGAAATCATTTATACTAGATACATTCAACTATCTGTTGATGTAAACATGATTCTATAAAGACAACTTATTAAACAAGTTACAAATATACCAAAACTTTCATTTACTCTAATGATTGCATTGCAACACAGTAAATCTTGCTTAAACACATTAAATTTTGCAACTTTTTTTTACTTAAAATTTTTTTAGAAATTTTAGGCATTAATCTTCATTGTTTATTGAAAATCAGAAAAAATATTGTCACTGGTCAAGAATTAATGCAACCTGACTTGGCATCTCGATTTCAGCCACTTTCTCACAGACGTGATGTGGCTTCCACATCTTTTCTACAAATATTTTCATGGCAACTGCTCTGGTGATTTTTTTTTTTTTTTCTTCCGTAGTACTCCGACTATATGAATTTAAGCATTCTACTAGATTGGCATCTAGGTCTCACCAGTTTACTGTTGAAATAGTTAAATGTAACTGCCACTTCTACTTCAACAGTTTCTTTTCTCGCACTTCTTACCTGTGGAACTCCCTTCTATTTCCTTGCTTTCCTGATAAATACAATGTTCAAAAATTTAAATGCAATGTCAATCATCATCTTCTATCATCTTGAACCTTGTTGATCTTTTAACCTCTCCTCAATCCCTCCTATACCCAGTCTTTTCTCTCACTTTCACTCTCTGTAACCTCCTGCGTACTAGTGGCATTCTTGCCTTGCTTGGGTGTGAAATGGTTACAAAAGAAAATCATTAATGATAGAGTATGGCTATTATATAGGTACCTTCAAAAATTCCCTAAAAAGAATACAAACAAGATGAAAAAAAATGTACAAAACAATAAAAACAAAATTTTATCAACAAAACCTTTGTGTTATTAAGATCAAAGGTGTTTTTTTTTTTTTTTTTTTTTTTTGAGATTTTGATTTAAAATAGTTTTTCTGTCATATTTGTCTGGGAAGTTTGAGCATCTATTTGCAGTGAAAAACATTGATTTGGAAATTCTTGCAAAAATCAGATAATTGTCAGATTTTAATGAAACTTTCAAGACTTAGAAATGAATTAAATTATTTTTTTTAAATGTTTCTTTTTTAGAAAATCTTTATAAAAATCTTTTTTTATATATCTGTCAAAAATGCTTTTTTTTTCTAAAAGTAAGTAATATTTGTTTCAATTCACATTAAATTTTAAATCAGCTAATTTTTCTCAAAGTTTCATAAAAGTAACTTGTTTTTTGAAAGATTTTTTTAATATATGTTGATTTTTTAAAAAATTATGCTCTGTTGAAAAATTTGTCAATATGGACGATTTTATAAATTTTACTAATAATAAAAAAAATAATTTAAAGTCTGTTTGGAATATATTAAATTTAATCTAAGCTTAGAATAAAAATTAAAATACAGGTCTCAAGAAAGATTTTTCACTTTTTAAAATGCATTTTAAACCTTAGGTATCACATTTTTTTAGGTACCTTCTATAATATGTATAATATTTCATAGCACTATTTTACTAAAGAAATGCAGAGCAAATGAAAAAGCATTATTGATCAGGAATTAAGACATGCTTTACTGACAGTCAGGGTACAATATATATACAACTATAAGACTTTAGGAAACTATGGTGCATCATCACAATTTACAAATAAATTCATAGATACAGTTAGGTTTCTAAATGCAAACAACCCATCATGTGAGTAATTGAAATGCATATAAATAAAGCAAGCCATCCGAACTCTATATAAAAGTATATAAAAAATAGCAAATACACAA